ACCATGAACTGGTGCTGATTGTGGAAATGTTGGAAATAATAAAATTCCATCATTACCTAATAATACTTGAATTTCATCAAAAAATTTATGTGCTAATCTATGAAAACGTTTATTATATTTATTTGGTAATGCTTCTAATATAAGAAGACCTATAGCTGGTAATGTATGTGTTGAACGAAATAAAAATTTTTTTAATAATTCATGATAACCATTTACATATGATGTATTATTACAAAGTGATAATGAAAAATCACGTGATGATAATTCACCATCAACCATCATTGCTGACCAAAGTGATACAGCATAACGAAGACGATTTAATCGTAAACGTGGTATATGAATTTTATATTTGTCTTCAAAATGTTCAACTACCTATTTATTATAATACATATTATTATATATAGATTTCTTTTTTTTTGTTTATATAACTTACTCGACGATGAGCTAATTTTTGTTCTTCATCAATTTTATTAACAAAATAAGCATCCATTTCATCAATATAAAAATAACGTAATTTACTTAAATCAACCTTTAATAAAAGAAACAAAAAAAAAAATATTATCGATCTAATTCTTTATGAAACTCTAATCAATTGTTTAGATTTTTGAATATTCATTTTAATAAAATAATAGATTTTATTGCATACTATTTTCGATCTCGATTAACTCGGAAATAATCCTATTGATTTGTAGCAAATCAATATAATATAGATCACTTCGCTGCATAGTATACATAATAACTTAAAGACGTTTGTTGCTCGATCTTACCGAAGTATCAATATCTACGAATTTGTTGACATTTTCGGAACCTGCCAATACTTTAAGCATTGGTTGTAAATCACATGCATAACGACACATTGGTCCTGTTGCTAATAGATATTTTTGATGATGATCTTTATGTGGAGGATATTGTCCCTCGTTAGGAACAATATCTATTCAAAATAAATAGAAAATTTTTATTATTTTTTAATTAACTTAGAATTTTTTGTTTTATACCAGGTGATGGTTTATGTCCAAATATTCCATTCATAAATGAAGGTAATCGAATACTTCCACCAACATCAGCACCAATAGCAAATGGTACACCAGCTGCTCCAACAATACAGCCAGCACCACCTGAACTACCTCCAACAATTCTTGTTAAATCATATGGATTATTCGTTGTACCATAAAGAGAATTTCGTCTAAAATAATTTAGATAATTAAGTTTTTTTTTTGTTTTTTGGTAAGTAAACCTACGATTCAAACCACATACAACCTTCACTAACATTTGTATTACATAAAAGAATAGCACCTGATTTTAACATATTTTCTACGGATGCTGCTGTTTCAGTTGATATAAAATTTTTTCTTGCAACAATTCCAGTTGAATTATGAAAACCAGGAAATTGCATTGATTCTTTAATAGCAAATGGAACACCAAGAAATGGAACTCGTTCTTCGCTCCATTGATCAGATAATGGTTTTCCATTATCTAACATTTCATCTATATTTCGTGCTTCATTTAATGCTTGTTCAAATCGTTCATCAATATAAACATTTACATAAGGTTGTATAGCTTTTATTCGATCAATATAAGCACGAACAACTTCATAAGCTGTTATCTAATAAATAAAATTTATTTTTTTTTTATTTATTTATTTTTATTAAATTACTTGTCGTTGTCGAATACGTTTAGCAATAACAGTTGCTGGTTGAAGTAATATTTGATTTGTTATAGGTGGTAATTTAAATTTTTGATTTCCATATATTAAACGAAAACCAAGACGAATCCATATTGATAAAAAACTACGAATTATCCACAAAATAAAATTAATAAATTTCAATGTTTTATCCATTGCACAACAAAACAATAATATCAACTAATTCAAAAGAAAAAAACAGAAGAACAACAGAGTAGTAAAGATAGAGAGAGATGATTTATCAGTTTTGAATGGTCACGTTTTAAACCAATGTTATTTATTCACATAAACACATCGAGACATTAGATAATAGACAGATATAAGTAAAAAAATGTTTCACCTGTTGATAATCAAAATAAAAAAAAAAAACACCACAACATTAAATTTTTACTTTTCATTCTTGTTTAGTTTTATACAATGAAAAAATAAATTATAACATTTCAAGTTAAGTAGACAAATCGTTGCGCAATATAGAAACGTATATACAGAGTGTCGCAAAAATCCTTTCCTAAAAATTTTGTTCATATAAGTTTATCGTTTGATTTAATTTAATGCACTATTTTTTTGTTATCATAGGTAAATACTCTAAGTTTTTATTTATATAAGAAAACTTCAAAAACACTCTTCACAGTTTTTATTTCTAACTGAAATACAAAAAAAATTTGAATCCTTATCTTTTAATTGCTTTATTTTCTTGTATGTCATGAACCCGTGGACTCTGCATTGCTTAATAAACATATAGTCACCATATTTGGATTCAAAATGATCAGTGTACTACTTCGAAGCTGTAATTCACTCACGGTATGATATGAAGTTTGAAATAAACTGAATGTTGAATCATTTTTTGATGATTCAATAATTGATCAATAAAATAAAATCGACATGCTTCAAAGTTTCTTTCAATTGATTTTATAGAAGAAAAAAAAAGAGTTACTATAAGAGTGATTGTTCAGCACAATATGGCATTAGTATATCGCGCGAAGACAATTCTCAATAGTTTGATTGATAAATTTGATAATCAATGATTTTGAATAGATAAATTGATTTATCGTTAGACTTAATATCATTGAATTTCTTTTTATGAAAGTCTATTAAGACAAATATGGATGAAAATGATTATTAAAAGATCAGAATAATTCAAAGAATTGAAGCTAATTAAAAACGAATTATTGTATGATGTTTTTCTACATATAGAAAAAAAAGCAAAACTTTTGCATTTTGGTTAAAGATGAATGCTTTGAAAAATTAAAAAAAAACTCGGTATATGAACCTCCTCATCATCAAAAAAAAACTTAGTTAATAAAATTCAATCGAATAGTAATGACATCCAGAAAAACTTCTGAAGCATTCTATACATACAGGCTTTTCATTCCGGATGAGGGATTTAATTTATTTGAATTTTATCGAATTAAATAATTATTACACTAGTGGATTATATATGATTAGTATGAGTTATCAACTATTTAAATTAGGGATGAGCGGTGTCAGTGATAACACCGAAAAAACCGTCACTTTTGTCACCGACAGTGCGCACTGATAGGTTCAGTGCCACTGATCACTGGAACACTGATGACCAGTGTATCACGGATCACTAATGCACTGATACTATCGGCGTCACTGGTACTTCAGGCACACTGACATAGTGTAATTAATTGTTACATAATACTGCAAGACATGTGCTGTAAATAAAAAAGAATGATCATAAACTAGATGTATGTATCTTTTCCATCCATGTCTCAGTGAAGTACCAGTGACGTCGATGGTATCAGTGTTTCAGTGATCAGTGGCACTGAGCGTCACTGTCGGTGTCCAATGATGTTCAGTAAACGCACACCGCGCATGCCTAATTTAAGTTGCTGTATTAGAGAAGATATTTTTGTTTGAAATATTCTATAGCTAAGAAAATTTTTAATTATATTCTACTCCTATAATCGATAATTGAATGTTTATGATGTTCTTTATAATAAAATCTATATATTTATTAAATTTCAAGTTTGAAAATATAATGAACTACATGAAATTAAAACGAAAGACTTTTGTCTCTTGATTTTCATACTTTAAAACCAATTGTAGCTTACTATGTTGTCTTATATATTGAAATTGACTAATTAAAAATGATTGTTGTTTGATTAATTTATCATTGTTTTGAAGCTCTGAACTACTAAAGACAAAATGAAATATTAACTATATAAACTCTAACTGAAGAAATTTTCATTTTCATGCATGTTTCTAAATTAAAATATTTTCATAAGACTAATTATTAATCGGTATTGATCTAATGCATTGCAATATATAAAAAGTATTATCTGTAGTGAAAGAGAATTTTAATGATTAAAATATCGATTAATTCTTCTCTTGTTTTCTTATATTTGTCGAATGATTAGAAATGTTCTATACGTAGTTATTGGTTTTTCATTCATAATACAAAGAAAAGAATTAGAGAGATCATTTTTATGATCTTGTATCTTGTTTGATTAATATCTAGTCTTTACATCGTACATAAATATTTATTGTTTCTATATGATGATCAATAGATCGATTTTCTTTTGCGTATGTGAGACAATGATTTGAATAACTCAATATTTTAGACTCCATATTTTATAATTAATTTATTCCCATTGATTCATCTGTTTTCAACATGGATATAAAACTGTGATCGATCGCAAGAAGACGATTATATTTCAAGAATTTCTTTAATTGATAATACAATAGAAGCATATAAAAAGATTAGATGATAGCTATTATTTTATTGATTCGCATTTTCTTTCATTGCCGTGCTCAATCTTGGTAGAAAAGATTTTAGTGAATTTCTTTTCTTAACATTAAAATATTTATATTGATAATCGTGATGGTATAAAAGTTAGTTATGTACAGTGCAATGTTCCTCTTCCAATCATGGAATTGAAAACTTTTCTTATATTTTGTTATAAAAGATATCTAAAGAAATTGCCTCAAATTAAGTGTTTCGAACCAATTCTAAATCTATTGATGATACGTAATTAAAAGATACGATCAATATTTATGTATCATGCTATACTACCTTGGTTTATTCCATAGACTATGATCAATAATATCTCATATTGTTTATAATTTTCATATACATAATGTATTCATAGCTGTGCCATCTGCTACCCACACGAAGACAAAGATCAAAACCTAAAACTGACAACCAAGTTTTATTCGACTAACATTCATTGCCTTCTTTTTTTTTTTGTTGAAAATGTCATTCCGCCTACTACTTATTAAAACAATATGGAAATATAATATTTTCTTTTGATAAAAAACATTTCTTATTTTCTACTTTCTTGACAATTCAACAATGCTTAAAGTGATTGTTCATAATGCCGAACGTGTTCCTAATTTGGAACGTTTCTCTACTGTTGATCCAATGGTTGCAGTTATTTTTCAAGGTATATATTAATTATTGCTAAAGAAAAAAAATTAACAAATGAATTAAACATTATTTTAAGATCTTTTATTATATTTAAATTTTGAATCATAATAGTGTAATTTCTATAGGTATTACGAAACAAACGACTTGGCAACGATCAACATGTGATCCAAAATGGGATGAGGTAGATCCTAATGAAATTTTTTTTTTCTATATTTTAATTATTAAGATAATTATGTTAATACTAGACACTTGATTTTCCTCTTAATGGTATTCCAATAAAAAGTACAGATATATTAGAAATTCATCTTAAAGATTACGAAAAGATTGGAACTAATAAGTATGTTACTTGTTAATTTCTATTTATTATTAGTTATTTTTGCAATTAGACTTATTGGTCAAGGTACAATATCATTGAATGATGTTATTCGAACTGGTATTATCAAACGACGTACTGTTCCATTAACAAATCCACAAGGTGTTCGTCTTGAAGCTGTAAGTTTGAGAAAATGAAATTTATAATCCAATTTTTTTTTTCATTTAAAATGTAGACTAAATTATATCTTACACTTGAATATAGTCCACCAAATAGTGTTACCAATGAAAAACTAAATTTAAAAAATGGTAAAAATTTTTTTTTTTTTTAAAGTTTTATTATAGTTTAATATAGTTGATGATATACCTTTACAAAATGTTGGTGATATATCATGGAAAACAGAATTGGGTATGGATCAAACATTTTTATCAAAAACTAAATTACGATCGAATAAACTACAAGATTTTCAAGTTAGATTCATTTTTCTTTAGACATTTGGTTTTTAGCCTTTTTTTGTTTTTGTTTTAGATACGAATAAAAATATTTCAAGCTCGTCAATTACATGGAAGTAATATTCATCCAGTATGTCGTGTTCGAGTAATTAATTCAATAAAACAAACAAAAATTCAAAAAGGAACAAATCATCCATATTTTAATGAAGTTTTTTTTTTTAATATAAATATATCGGAAACTAAATTATGTGATGAATTTATTGAATTTGAAGTTTGTAATTCAAGAATATTTCGATCGAATATGATTATAGGAACATTTAAAACTGATATTGCTTATATTTATTCACAAAATAAACATTCAATTAATCGAAAATGGTTATTATTAAGTAATGATAATGATCGAATGACTGGTGCTAAAGGTTATCTTAAAGTATCTGTTAATATATTAGGATCAGGAGATGAAGCACCAGTATGAATATTAATTATTTTATTCAATTTAAATTTTTTTATTTATAGTCACAAGAAAATGCAGATGATAATGATGATGATATTGAAAGTAATGTATTAAAACCAACTGGTTTAATGCTTCGTCCAGCAACATTTATTCTAAAACTTTATAAAGCAGAAGATTTACCACAAAGTTTGTGGTTTTTCTTTTTTTGTAAAAACAAATAAATGAATTATTTTTAGTGGATAGTTCATTTTTACATGGTGTTAAAAAAATCTTTCATGGAACTGAAGATATTAAAGAATTAATTGATCCTTATGTTATATTTTCATTTGCTGGACAACAAGTTTGTTTAATAAGAAGATAAATTTCATCTTCGTTTTTTTTTTATAATTAAGGTCGCATCAAAAATTATTTATACTTGTTCACATCCAGAATTTAATCAAGAACTTCGACTTGGTCTTAAAGTAAATTTTATTTTAAAAATCATTTTATTTTTAATATATTCATATAGTTTCCATCAATGTGTGATAAAATTACACTTACTGTTATGGATTGGTTAGTAGAATTTTTTTATTTTTTCTTCGAAGATATTTTAACTTTTTTTTGTTTTTTAAACACAAAAAAAATCTATTCAGGGATCGTTTACAATTTGATGATATAACTGGATCAGCTTTATTAGATATTAATTCGATTTGCGATGATCGAGAAAATGGTATGTTTATATCAAGAATGATTTATCCGTAGAGATAATTTATTCAATAGAATTTTTCTATTATTATGCAAATCAATTAATTCAGTGTATAGAATATAATTAGCGCTTTTTTTGAGGAACATAACATTATGGTTTTCAAAGAAAAATATTCGAACGTTTCAAAATCTTTTCAAAAATTTCAATAGGCAGAATACATATGTCAATATTCTAAACAGTTTTCAGTTTTTATGCAGATAAAAAATTTATATTTAAGATGCCAAGATTAATTAGTAATCATGCATTAATGCGCTACATACGTCATATAATCAATATGAACAGCGTGAAATTATCGAATTATAACTAGAGATGGAAGTTGAAGGGTCAAACAGCGGCGGCGGCGGCGCAACTCCTAAAAATTTCTTAAAATTATCTACGATTTCGTGGCGGCCCAGCTATACAGTTTACACCTCTAATTATAACTTTGGAAAATAAACTGTATTAGTATTCGTAAGCTTTTCGGGATATATAATAGTACGTTGAGATTTGCTGTAGATATAATAGATATGTATAACAGATCTATTTGTCAGTGATGAATCATATTTGATTTTGTTACGAAAATAGTTTGAACATAAAATAAAAAATAATTTCTATAAGGTTTTCTTCCAACATTTGGTCCATGTTGGATTAATTTATATGGTGCACCACGAGAATATTCAGAACTTCCAACTGCATTAGATGAATTAAATAGTGGCAAAGTAAATTATAAATTAAGAAATTTTTTATTTTGAAAAAAAAAAAAAAAACGAAATTATTTTTCTAATTAATATAGAGTGAAGGTGTTGCATATCGTGGTCGAATATTTATTGAATTACAAACAATTCTTGGTGAAAATCCAAGTGAATCTATTGGTGAATTATCAAATTCAGATTTAATTCGTACATTACCATATCAATCACGAAAAAAATATAAATTACATGCTGCATTTCTTGATGCTTCTATATTATATGAACATGAATCAACAGTTGAATTTGAAATAAGTAATGGAAATTATGGAAATAAATTTGATAATCTTATTGGAAATGCAAATTGTTCAACAACACCACCAACAAATCCTGTTTTTGATGGAACATCTTATTATTTTTTACCATGGGGACATACAAAACCATGTGTACAAGTTACAAGTGAATGGGAAGATATTACTTTTAGATTAGAAGCTCTTAATCATTTATCAAATATGAAATTATTTATTGTAAGTTTAAAATTTTTTTTGTTTTTTTAATTTTATTGAAACAAAAAAAAAAACAAAACAAGATATTCTTCATTTTAAGATTGATCTTATATCAACATTAAACTTATTAAAAATAAAAAAATCATCTGATGAAATTCTTATTCGACATTATAAACAATCTGTCGATACGATTATTTTATATTTAAAGTAAAATTTAATTAAAGGATAGTCGAAAAATTTTCAATTTCGCTCAGTTAATCGATGATATCTATGACAAACCTATAAAAAGAAACATTGTAGAGAACTCGACGATATCTTATTTTGTAGAGTTACATGAATTTCGGCCCGGACCGAAATGCCGCCGGAATTTTGGACCGGACCGAAATTCCGTGCTTCCATTTTGTAGGGAAATCATTCGCTCTATCTTTCTTTGCAGAATAAATAAAATTATATATACGAGTTTTACATACTAGAAAACTTGAGTTTCTGTTTTTCTAGAATTCCTTTCATTGGAAATCCGATAATGATTTTATTTCTGTTGTTAGAAACAATTTTTTGCTATTCGGATTTTTTCTAACAGTAACGACAGCGGAAAAAATTGAAAGTTAACAGTGTTGTATAACTTTTTTGCTATGACTGTAGATTTGTCATCGGTATTATCGATTTACTGAGATTGATCAGAATTTCTCGACTATGTTTGAGAATATTTCTTTTCATTTTATTTTTAATTTTTCTAAATAGAAAACCATTACCTGATTTGGATCTATATCGTTATCATTTCAATGAACTTGATCGATTAAGACGTCATATGCGTGAAAAAAATCTTTTCGATATAATTTATAAATTAGAACAATTAAAATTATATGTTAAAACATCACAAGATATTTTTGATACATTAGAAGATATTCAAAAAACTCTTGAATTTCTTCAATTTGAAGTAAACATTTTGTTTTTTTATTTCATTTTAATTTTAAATAATAATATAATTTTATTTAGCCACAAAATAGTATTCCTGATGTAATTATATGGTTATTATCAAATGGTAAACGTTATGCTTATTATCGTTTACCAGCTAATGAAGTATTTTATTCAACAAATATTGATTATCGTGGTCATCTTTGTGGAAAACTTCAAACAATAAGATTAAAATGGCCTGGAAAAGAAACAGATATTGATAAAGATAAAAGATTTTTTATTCCAGCAGAAATTCGAATTAAAATTTGGTTTGGTTTAGTCATACATGAACAAGATTGGTTATCACAACAAAAAGGAGCTGATTTAACTGTTTATGCCGAAACATATGAAAATCAAACAAATGTACTTGGACAATGGTCAACAACAGGACCATTAATGACTAGACCAGCATGGTCAGATGTTACAGGAAATGTAACAGACAATAAAAACAAAAGAATAGATTTTTATTTATTGAAATTTTTAGATGAGTTTACCAAAACAAAATTTTCAAGTACCATCTGATTGGAAATGGGATGGAGATTGGTATATTAGTCCAGAAATAAGGTAAATAGATTCAATGATGACGATTGATGTTTTCCAGATTATAAACGACTGTTTTCGATGGTTGTAAGCTTGATTTTCGAATCGTTGGATGATTCTTATCAATTGAATACGATCCAATAAATAGTGCGTCTACTAAACGTCCATTTACGACCGCAAACTATATAAAACGACAGTACACAGTACCATTTTTTCACCGTTTCGATGATTATAATCATCATCATAGGTTGTCCTTCCAGACGTTTAAATCTCCCTTTAGAAAGAGAAAATCTAGATAAAATACTTGATGAATTATAATTGCATAGAAATTAAATTTCTTTTTTTTTGAATATTAGTGCTCGATATGCAGATGATGCTGGTTATAGAAAATTTACTGAAGAAGTTTATGAACATCAATATCGTTTAATTGCTGGAGCACAATGGCAACCAAAAACAATTGAATGGACTAATTTAGTTTGATATTTAATTTATAATAATAATAATAATAATGTCGTTTTTTAAAATCGATCTTTTTAGGTTGGTGATAAAGTATCAAGTAAAAATGAACGAACTGAATCACCACCTGGATGGGAATGGGAAGATGAATGGACTATAGATACTAATCGAGCTGTTGATGAAGAAGGTTCTCAAATAAAAATTTCATAATAATTATCATTCTTTTTTTTTTGTTTTTTGTATTTATTAAGGTTTTGAATATTGTGTTAATCAAACAGTTAGTGGTTGGTGTCCAGTAGAAAAATTATTTCATTTAAATCGTCGACGACGTTGGTATAGAACACGTATTCTTAAAAAAGATTTCAATATAGAAGAAAAACAAGTATTTTAAATATTTTATTGATTAAATATATATATTTATATATATATTATAGAAAAAAGAAATAAAAATTGATTTTATAAATGAAGGATGGGAATATGCTCCTATGTTTAATATGAAATTTCATGCTGATGAACGAAGTATGGATATGACACGTCGAAGACGATGGCATAGAAAAATGATTTCTAATCAATTATTACATAATGAAAATATTAATAATAATAATTCAAATGGAACAATTTTTATTAATACAGATATTGTTTTTCGTATGCAATCACGAATTTCTATAGTTACAGATTCAAATTCAAAAGGTAATCAACAATCATCGGATTTCATAACAACAAAAAATAAAAATATTAAAATTGAATTAAATGCACCAAGAATGTTTCTTACTTTTAAAAGTAAAAAAAAATAAAATTTTAGTATAGACTTATTTCAATAAATTATATAATTATTAAATATAGAGCCATATTATTATGAACTTCGATCGTATATATATCAAGCAAGAAATCTTCTTTCCATGGATTATGATAGTTTTTCAGGTAAAAAACATTTTATAAATCATATAACACAGATTATCAATATATAATTCAAACTAGAAGTATAAAATCTAATATTCAATAACTAATATATTAACTCACTAAATTAGCAATTAGAGTATGATACCGAGATGGGATCGATTAGGTTCATGACGTTTCAAATAGATGATCATCTCATATGTAGGATATGAATGTGAGTGTAGGTGCTACTGTCAAGAAACCAGAGATGTTCATCGCGCCGCTGCCGCCGTGGCGGTGGCGGCGCGGCAGCAGCAGATTTTTTCCAAAAACTATCGCGGCGCGGCAGCGGCGCGGGAGAGATTTTTATTTTGCCGTCGCGGCAGCGGCGGCAGCTTTTTAGGAAAAAATTTCAAAAATTCATGAATTTGCACAGAATCTGCATGTTTATGTATGCTATACTGTAAGACTTAGCGAATCTGATCGATTAGCGGCATCAGTTCTATTTCAAACCAGTCAAAGCCTTGAAAATCAAAACATTTTTTCGAATACCAGAGCAGCAGCGGCGCGGTAGCTTTTTTTAACAGGCCATCGCGTCGCGGGAGCGGCGCGGAAGCGGCGCGGCAGCTTTGTTTGATTTTGGCCACGGCGCGGCAGCGACAGATTTTGAGCCGCGATGGACATCTCTGCAAGAAACATGACGCTGACACCAATGCTCTTGAATATTTAGTTTTTTTTTTTTTTTTAATTTCAATACTTAGCTTTTCAAACTTATTTACTATGCGAAGAGAATTTTTTTTATTGAGTAAAAACTACTAAGTGTGTAAATAAAAAAATATAAGGAACGTTTATTAAGAAATAATAAGCAATTAAATAGAAGTTATTGTTTAAGATCCATATGCACAAATTGGTTTTATTAATCAAAGTCAACGTACTGAAGTTATTCAAAAAACTTTATGTCCAACATGGGATCAAGTAAAATTAAATTTTTCTAATATTTTTTTTAATTAAATAAAACTTTTTATTTTTAGACATTAATCTTTTCAAATGTTGAACTTTATGGTGAACCTAATGAAATTTATCATGATCCTCCAAATATTCTAATTGAATTATTTGATAAAGATGAATATGTATATTTAAAAAGAAAAAGAAAGAAAATCTTGAAAAAATAAGTTTATAAAATAAATATTCTTGATAGGGAGTTCCAGATTTTCTTGGTCGTGTTCAATGTTCACCTATTGTTCGTTTGATACCTGATGAAATAAATCCAATTGTTAAATTAAAATGGTTTCAAATTAAAAGAGGAAAAGATAATGCTGGAGAATTATTAGCAGCATTTGAACTATTCTTAGTATATTATTATTATTATTATTTAATAGAAAATTTATTTTGTATTAAAATTCTTTTTTTTTTCTTAGTTACCAGAAGTTAATGATGAAAAGAGAATGCCTCCATATCCATCAAAACGTGGTTCTTTGTTTATTGTACCAGATTTAATTCGACCAGAACTTGTTCGAACTGGAATTGAGGTTTGGTTTATTTATATGATTAATAATAAGGCAACAAATGTTTGTTTTTTTTTTCTTTCTATTAGATTCTTTGTTGGGGTGTAAGAAATATGAAAACATTTATGTTATCTGATATTGATTGTCCACAAGTTATATTTGAAGTTGCTGGTCAACAAGTTGAATCAACAATTATTAAAAATGCAAAGAAAACACCAAATTTTGATAAACCTTTATTATTTCTTGATGTTGTATGTTTTGTTAAATGAATTTTTTTTTCAACTATAAATATTTATGATTAGATGTTACCAAAAGATGATTTATATGCACCAACAATGAATATTAAAGTAAAAGATCATCGTTCATTTGGACGAAAACCTATTGTTGGTTTTCATATAATTAAATCATTGGAATTATTTCGATGTGATCCAACTGCACCTTCATTAACACTTATACAAACAGCTAGTATATTATTTTTATTAGTCATTTATTAAAAAACAAAAAGTAACTTTTTTTTTCCGTAGAATGTATAGAAGCACATACTAGCTTATCAACAAATGATTTTGTTATTCCAATGGTTAAAAAAAAGAAGAATAAACATCGAAAAGAAGTAAAAATATTTGATTTTACAATGTTAATAAACATTATTTTATTTATAATAGCATACTCATTCACCAAAACTTAAGTTTGCATCAACAAATGAAACAATTGATTTAACAAAAAATGAAACCGAAATAAAAGTTATTGATAAAAAAACAATGAGAAAACGTGTAAAACAGTTTTTGAAAAAATGTAAATCACCTGTAATAAAACCAGAATCGAAATTAGAGAAAATTCAAAAAGCAATTTTGAAAATTTCGCAATATTATCAAAGTGTACCCGTCAATCAAGTGGTTCGTTATATTTATTCATTTTTTTTTAACTTATAGATTGCTCGCCGACATTGAAATCTGACAGTAAAAATTACAAATTTTTATTTCATCATTAAATTAACTATTCCGAACAATGTAAAAAAACAAAAAAATTTTCAAAAAAAGAAAAGTTTTTTTCTGTATTTCACTAATCATTCAGAATATTCTTAAAGTACTTGATTTTTGTTTCATTTATCTTGCTTGATATTATTGTAAGATCTAAGGCAATATGTGACGCTCAGATGAAAACAATAAAAACTTGAAAAGAAAGATCCATGAGTTCGTTTCATTTCAAATTCGTCTAATCTCATGAAAACTCTCTTAGAGTTAGAACATAACTTCAAACTTGAGATCAAAGATTGTCTCTTTCAAATGATAACATCTATATTTTATCTTAATAACTACAGAAATTCTTTTGCAAAGAATTTCATTAGGATCGACACAATTAATAAGACAATCTTACGAGATAGAGTTTTAAATATCAAATCACTTTTGAATCGAGACAATGTGCTTAATGTAGACTCCCATGAGCTATAAATACCACGAAAATAAGTCTGAATAATAGCATATTACTGCCAAGGGACTGTGTATGTATTAGGGCTGTACCGCTCACGCTCATGAGCGCTCATATGAGCGTGAGCGATTTTTCGCTGACGCTCATGCTCACGTAAGGGGCGGTCGCTCACGCTCATATGAGCGCATATGAGCGTGAGCGGTACAGCCCTAGTCATATGAGCGTGAGCGACCACCCCTCACCTAAGCATGAGTGTAGGGCTGTGCCACCCACGCTCATGAGCGCTGATATGAGCAGGGCTGTACCGCTCACGCTCATGTGCGCTCATATGAACGTGAGCGACCACCCCTCACGTGAGCATGAGCGTCAGCGGAAAAACGCTCACGCTTATATGAGCGCTCATGAGCGTGAGCGGTACAGCCCTAGTCTGTATCATATTTTTTAGTCGAAAACTGTGGCTCCTACTCATGAACACCAAGGAAACTAAGTTTTGGTTTTAGACTTGAAAATTTGTGTGAAGGTATATCTTAATGAGAATAATTCATTGTTTCTGTCCTAAGATACGGTTATGGCCAAAGCATGGTTTTTTACGTCGCTTATGTTTAACGGCTAAGTTCGATGTTCTTACTTCAGAATAGATATAATCAAAAAATTCGAAAGTTTCACAAGAAGCTATTCTCTACAAGACTTGCTTCTATGCAAATCTTCAAATCGAAATTCTCAACTAACTCTTTCTGTTGTTCCTAAGAAAGACTCTGACGTTTCATTAAAACATACAGTATTTTGGCAATAATAAACTATTAGCCTTAGCTTTTTTTTCCGGGTATTCATAGTTCATTAGAATTTACATAATGTACACAGTCTCAAGTCAATAGCAATTCGACACTGAAAAATATTTCTTCATGAGAACATAAAATGAAGTAACATTTTTTGTCATCTTATTGAAAACGATTTTTCTGATTGAATTAAAACATCTTGAGAACTTTTGTTTTTGTTTTTTAATTATTCGATCATTTTATATATATAAATTAGACGATTGCTGAAGATGATATTGATTGGTGGTCAAAATATTATGCATCAAAAGATGAATTCAATAAATGTGGTACTTATATACAAAAAGGATATGAAACTTTAACAGTAAACATATCAATATAATATTTTTCTTTTTCTTTTGTTCTATTTTGTATTTTAGATATATTCTCATCCACTTGAATTATTCGAATTTTATGAAGGTTTTAATGATTTTTGTCGAACATTTGAATTATTTCGTGGAAAAACAAAATTTGAAGAAGAAAATGAAATTGTAGGAGAATTTAAAGGTCTTTTTAAAGTTTATCCATTATCTGAAAATCCAAATGAATCATTACCACATCGAATAATGGAAAATTTTCCATCAAATAATTTAGAAGAATGTTTAATTCGTGTTTATATTATTCGTGGTATTGATTTACAAGCAAAAGATTCAAGTGGAAAATCAGATCCATATATTGAAATTCAATTAGGAAAAATAAAAATTGATAATCGAGATGAAAAAATACCAAATACAACAAATCCTGTATTTGGAAAGTTAGTTTATTTATCTATTCTCTTTTTTAAACTGGTTTTTCCTTTTTAAGAATGTTTGAAATTAAAACAATAATTCCATTAGCTAAAGATTTAATAATTCGTATTAAAGATTGGGATTTAATAACAACCGATGATATTATTGGACAAACAACAATTGATTTAGAAAATAGACTTTTAAGTAAATACAGAGCAACATGTGGACTTCCATTACAATATAATGTGTAAGAATTTTCGATGAAAAAAAAAAAAAGAAAAATGGATACTAATAGTTGAAATTAATTTTGTTTAGAACTGGTCCTAATCAATGGCGTGATAATGTTCTACCAAGAAAAATTCTTTATGATGTTTGTAAACGAAATAATTTATCTTTACCAGAATTACTTGATGATCATTCAATTAAAATTGGTAATACAACTTTTCGTTTGGATGATTTCGGTTTGTTAAAAAATATATTTTTCTTTTTTATCTTTTCATTTTCTTAACTTAATTCAATTTAGAACAAGAAAAAAATTTAACAATTCATGTTGGTGAAGAAGAAGAACGTTTAGCATTGTATATTTTACATAAACTTCGTCTTTGTCCTGAACATATTGAAACAAGACCACTTTTTAATTCATTTCAACCATTTATTGAACAAGGTCGTTTAGAATTATTTGTTGATATTTTTCCGAAATCTCATGGTCCACCTGGACCTCCTTTTATTATTACACCAAGAAAACCAAAACCGTAGGTTGATTAGAAACTATTCATTTTATTTTGATTTATATCTTAAATTCTATGGAGAACGAAAAAACAGTTATTCACTTACATACATTTACAATGTATACTAAAATAATTTAATATAGGGTTTATTTTCAATTTTTTCTACTACCATACACTCTAGAAAGTATCACAATAATGACTCAAGTAGTAAAAATTGTTTCTAACAAGAATTAAGAAGATGAAAATTATTATTAATTTGGTAAAGATAGAGATTCTAGAAAAACCAAATTCTAGTTTTTTTTATTAGTTAGAACCAGAGATGTCCATCGCGGCGCGACCGCTACCGCCACCGCACCGCTGCGGCGGTGGCGGCGCGGTAGCGGTTGTTTTTTTCAAATAACCATCGCGGTGCGGCGCGGCAGCGGTCGTTTTTCTAACTAACTATCGCGGCAGCGGCGCGGTAGCGGTAGGTTTTTTTGGAGAACAATGCAAAAATGCATGAATTCGAACAGAATTTCAATGTTTGCAAGTGCAAAACTATGAGATTCAACGAATCTTATCGATTGGTAACAACAGCTCTAGTCCTGAACAGTCCCAGATCGTAAAATTCACAACATTATTCTAACAATCATCGCGGCATGGTTATTTTTAGTGGCGTCGCGGCAGCGGCGCGGTAGGTTTTCTGTTTTTATCACCGCGGTGCGGTAGCGATGCGTTAGCTTTTTTCTTTTAGCGTCGCGGCGCGGCAGCGGTCAGTTTTCAACCGCGATGGACATCTCTGGTTAGAACACATAAATATAATTTTATTTAAAACACTTAAAAATATCAAGTAAATAATCGTTCATGAAATGAGATATCTCCAACTTCTCTACGATGTTTTTTTTTAGCTGAAATATTAAAATCTTACAGAAGCTCCTAAAATCTTTTTTTTTTAAATTTTTCTATAGAAAATCTATTCTTTGACCTTCAATCAAATAATTGTATCTCAGCTAGAAAAAAATCGTACATATCTTGAATACGTCGAAAATTATTTCCTCTATCGTTCTATGTAGTCTAAACAAAGCGTTACAAGAATTAATACAAGTCTAAAATAATGCAAAAAGGAGTAGACAGAAAATAATGAAATCATACAAATCATGTTATATATAAATACTCTCAAATTCTACATGAATACGATTTTGAGTATTCGTACATGATTGTCTATAGATGATTACGGGTAACTTTATTTGAAATTCTTAACCCAGTTTGAAAGATTTTATTTCATTTACAAAAAAAAATTTCTCATAAAAATCTCGTAGAATGTTATACAAAATCATGCAAAAATAAATGAGAGCGTCAATAGTTATTGTCATTTTGAATCAAATACTTGCTTCATTTTTTTTGCTAATTAAACTTGTATGTATGCATGAGTATTGTTTTTCTTTCATAAAAACATAGAGTATTTTTTTCAATAATCAATATGAAGTAAATTCTATGAAGTTATAACTTCATAAGTCAATGGTACAGTTTTCTTCGGAAACATCATAAAAAACTGATTTTTGAATTTCGATTTGAAACCTTGCACAAAGACAGACTACAAATAAGAATGATAAGTTTCAAGTCTTTTGATTTGCTCGTATTCTAAAATAAGAATATCAAATCTGTCTGTGTAAATGCACGATGTAAAAGATACACTTTTATTATAGTTGTCTATAATGATAGAAACAATAAAAAGATTTGAAACATTGACAATAAACTATTCTCATTGAGATTTATCTTAGTGCAGAATTTCAAGTCAACAATCGAAAAATCACTTTTTCTCCTGATGTTTCTGAGATAGACATCACATCAGTGAGTTTTAAAAAAAACTATATCATAAAAATGCAATATATTTTTACAGCAATAAGCTAAGATTCTGAACTCTTTAGAAAATAATCAATGTTCATTATGATCTATATGATGCACATAGTCTGAACTCAAACATGATTTATCAATTAGAGAACTTTTCTAAGAATAGAAAATAGTAGAATGCTTGTTCTCTATGATTATTATCTACTACTATTTTAATGTTTTTATGATCGAAACTACTTGTGAATCATAAAATATGTTTTAGTTATGTTCTTCGTTGTATAATTTGGAATACAAGTAATGTTATTTTACAAGAAACATCAATAACAGGAGAAAAAATGTCTGACATTTATGTCAAAGGATGGCTAACCGGAATGGAAGATGATGTACAAAAAACAGATGTACATTATCGGTTTGTTATTTGAGTTATTCTTTTTTCTTTTTTAATGTATTGAAAAGATCTAATTTTAAATTAGATCAATGGATGGTGAAGGAAATTTTAATTGGCGTTTTGTTTATAATTTTTCTTATTTTCCTGCTGAACGATGTATATCAATTAAAAAAAAAGAATATTTTTGGAGTTATGATGCTACAGAATTAAAAATTCCACCTGTATTAAATCTTCAAATATGGGATAATGATAAATTTAGTCGAGATGATTTTCTTGGTAATTTTTATTTTTTTATTTTTGAATTAAAATTAATTTTAATAAAAATAGGTGCATTAACACTTGATTTAAATCATTTATGTAAACCAACTAAAGATTCTGATATGTGTACATTGGATATTATAAATGAACAATTATCAAATAATGTATCAATTTTTGATATGAAACATCTAAAAGGTTGGTGGCCTTGTGTTGATCTACAAAGTGGAGATCCAAAACTTACTGTAAGTTTAGTTTGAATAGAATTTTTGAAAACAAAAAAAAATAAATAAATAAATAATTTAGGGTAAAATTGAACTTGAATTAGAAATTTTAACAGAAAAAGAAGTAATTGAACGACCAGCAGGACGTGGTCGTGAACAACCAAATGAACATCCAAAATTAGAATTACCAAAGTAAATATTTTAATTTACATTTAAAAAACAAATCAAATAAATTTAATTTCAGACGTCCTGAAACATCATTTCTTTGGTTTACATCTCCATATCGTACATTTAAAAATATAATATGGAAAAAATCGAAATGGTATATTATTATTATATTATTATTAATATGTTTTATAATATTCTTACTTTTATTTCTTTGGTCAATGCCTGTAAGTTAATTATTTTTAAAATAAATCTTTTATTATTTTATGAAATATTTTTTTAGAAAGCAATATTATCTCATCTTTTACATACATTTAAATAATTAAATATTTATTATAAAAATTGTTTGTTTTTTTTTAACCAGTTCTATCAACCAATAAATTTTTATCATCAAGTAATAAATTTTGAACTCTACGTCTTTCAATTTGTGTTAATGAATCTTTTGTTTGTCCACTTGCTAATATACTTGTTGTACGTGGTGATGAATGTAATGATGATGATACTTTTTCTTTTTGTAATGATGATGTATTTGACATAAATGCTTCAAAACGAAGTGCACTTAATGCATTTGGCTGAAAGGCGATTATTTGATCAATTTCATTACGATGAGATTTAGCAAAACGAAGACGAGTTGCTCGAATTCTTTTATTAAAAAAAGGACTAGCAGAATTTAATAAACAAGTGAATCTTACCGATTTCTTGCTTCAGCAGCTTTCAGCTCACCGATGACAATAGCATATTGTCGAGCCATATAGGCTTCTTGGTCTAATTCGGCTTTTGTTTTTTTCTTTGTAACAAAAGATTTATCATCAGTTATAGATGTTTTACTTGGACGCCTTTCAGCTTCTTGTTCCGCCATTCTTAGTTGTTGATTATGATGAAGAATATCAATATCATCCATCGAACGATACTTTTTCCATAACAACCATCACGGATGAATCATTCATAATACAAAAAAAACAATTTCAAATATTTTAAATGAACATTTCGACTTGAATATGTATAGAAAAATGATCAAATAATGTTAATAAAAACAATAAAAAATTAATTTTCATAGATGACGCATTAACTTCTAAACTGATTGGTTCTTCCTAAACTCACTAAATTGAGATGTTGTTTTTGTTTTTTTCATTCATAAATATATACAAAATGAAATTAAGTCTTATCCGTTTTGGTGGTGGTGATGCTGAAGTTCCAGTACATATTCGAGAAAAAATATCTACAAATTGGTATATTCGTCATTTTAATTCATATACAACTCGTGGTCGAGCTAATTCAGTAATGGGTGTTATTGGTGGTTGGATACTTTTTGGTTATACTATGACAAAATGGTCTCAGTTACGTAAAGCTAAAAATTTAGCTTCAATTCCAACAACACATACATCATCAACTAAAAAGAGTACTCATCATTAAAATTAGTATTTTTTTTGTTTTTGCTTAAAATTTGTTATGTTAGTAAACATTCATAGAAATAGTTACTATTTTTCCGTCTTTTTTGTATTCAAATATATTACAAAAAAAAATAAAGTAAGAACATTATTTCTTAATACGAATTAATTATGTTAATCTAAAGTGTTCGGAAAAAAAAATAATACGTATCTTAAGACTTTTAATTATTCGCTGATAATGTTTTTAAATATTCCGTGAAAATGAATAATTTTTTAACTTTTCAGAAAAGTCTATTTGTTTTATATTAAAATCAATTAATATCTTAGAAATTAGCGTTAAAGTCAACATAGTTATATAAATGTTTCAAATGATTAGTGTGTTTTATCTAGTATGAGAGAGCTGAAAGAGCTGCATCCTTTGAACATTTGTTTAACCTTCCAGGAGTTTGTAGTTAGTATATCACGTACTATGTATTTGTGCTTTTAAAAATAGATATTTGCTATTACAGATTTTAAAATTATCTCTCTAAAAGAAAAAGACAAAGTAAATAAGTAACTGTCAATAGCTTTAATGTATCTTACAAACATCTCAAAATTTTAAACATTTGATTACATATGACTATTCAAATTTCTTGAAGGTTGTGAGAAAAGAATGATAATCGAATGTTTTCTATGATTAATTAATAAAATTTGTCTAAATACAGAATAGATTCATTTAAAACCACTAGCACAAAAAAATCAATTGTGCTAGAATTATAAAATTGACCAATAATTGAACTTTCGATTTATAAATTAACTGAAATTTATACTATTTTACTAAACTGAAAGTTCATTAACAACTATTCTCATTCATTCCAAATGAACAACAAGAGGTTTCTATTTATAATTCTTTTCTATGTTCAATATTCATATTTGATCATACGTAGATGCATTATGAAGCTGAAAAAATAATGATGCATATCTATGAAGATAACTATTATGATATTGGATAGCTTGAATAAAACTAGGCAATCATTTTTGTTTTGCCGATATATCAAAAAGAAAAAAAGGAGCAATATTTCAGATTGTGAATATGATTCTTTATTTAGAAATAGAATTATTTGTACAAAAATATCTACATTTGCTTATGTTGATATTTGATGCATTCTTTTTTTTTTGTTTAAGTATATAAGGGGTATTTGTTCTGCTCTTGAAATCTTTGATGGTAACTTCATTTTTTAGCCATCCAAATGTAAAGAATTATTTGTTTGACAGCTGCATATAGTAAATGTCTAATGTCATTAGATGCATCTTGATCTCAAAGATGTTCTTCAACCTAATTTTGTGATTCTTTCACTCGTACATTCTCTTTTTTGTTCTTGGTATTTTACATTAAGATTTTGTTTCATATCAACAAAAATGTTTTTCTTTTGCTGAAGTCTATCATCAAAAGCATTCATTTTGTCGTTAGCTAAAGGATATAATCTAGAATGCGGCACACATCATAACATTCTTGTCGATATAAATTCTATTGATAAAAAATGACACATAGATCATGATGCATTTTAACAATGTCGAACTGACCATATATATTTATTTGTTCAATTCATCAAGCAATATTTAAGAATAAAACGAAATTCAAATGTATGTGCATTTGAAAATGATCAACAAAAAAAACAAACTATGTGTAATATTCAATCAAAAAAGAAAAACATTGCTATTCTATTGAGAATAGTTTTTTTTTTCTTCAGATAATATCTCCTTTGTAATTATATTAAAGTATGTATATCGTTAAATTACGATTCAACAATTTCGAAATGAAAAAAAATTGACGTACATTTCTATGTAAATACTCAAGGGTATAAGACAAAATAATTCTATTGTATTTGTCAGCATAATAAACTGTTCTATTGAAAAAGTAGAGTAAGTATATAAAATTCAAAACGCAATATTGATTCATCACCATAGTACCCAACTTCCGATACATGTGACTTATTATATCTACGCAATTATAGGGTTGTCTTTCGATTGAACCAATTAGAAGATTTAAAATTACATTTCTCAAGAATAAAAAAAACATAGTGCTAAGTGAACTTTCCTAACTATATATTGTAAGTTAAATAATATTAATATATTTAATTATAAGATTATCTTGACATAAAAGATGTTCGTAGTAATGAAATATTTCCTCTAAGAGAAAATTTGCGTAGGCTATAGAATAAAAGTCTTTTCATATTTTTGTAATCAACATATATAGTATAGTTCTTTCATGTTTTTTATGATATCTACTTCATCTTATTTTCTTATTATAACATTTGCAAAAAAAATATTGATTCGTGCCAATTAGGAAATACTTTTGTTCATTAATTAATTTCAAGTATTTCTAAAAGGATACTCAAAGTGAATCTGAATATTCTAATGCGTCTTCTTGTCTTTTTTTTTTGGTTAATTGGTAGTTTTTCTATTGAAAGATAAATGCTTGTAAGGGTTTGTTGTTTTGAAGAAAAAAATAAATAAATAACTATTTGTTGTGAATGATTTCATAGGGATTTATGATAATATATATATATAATTTCATTTGTTTTCGAGAACAATTTCTTAATAAAATATTTATTGATTAATGCATAATTGAACAAAAGATTTTAATTTTGAAGATAACCTTTTTGTTTAATTGTAGAATTGAATCGTAAAAAGTAACTACTAGATATAATAACACGATTAACCTCTTTCACGCAGTATATGAATAAAAAAACAAATGTATCTATTGGGAATATTATCTCTAGAGATCAGAGTAAAATATATTTACTATTATTATTATCATACAATGGACAGTAAGATTTGATAATTCTAGTGGAAAAAAAGTAAAAGAAGACATGCAATGTGTAAAGATTTTTTTTTTTCAACAAGTAGAATTAATTATATTGTCTTGATAGAACAGCTTAGTTCTATAGGATTAAGATTATCGTGATATTAACAAATTTATTATCAAGTTAAATTTAATTAATAAATTGACACGATATTTTACTAAATATTTTTTTTGTTTTTCAATATTTAGAAAAATAAAATCTTCCATTCAATTGTATGGAATCACAAATCATATTATAGTACTATTTTGATGATAGAATTAACTGACAATATACTTCTTGACTAAAGAAATAACTGATTTACCCGTTTCTTTTTTAAAGCAGATAGTCTTTTTCTTAAGTGTGCTACATCGAAATTCAAACATTTTTTGTAGAATACATTCGAACTTATGACATATGATTATTCTATTAAAATTGTATTAAAAGATTTTTAATTTTGAAATTCATTTTATATAGATAAATAAAATTTTAATAAAAAAAAAAAAGAAATGTTTACTTCAATATATAAGATCATCGAACATTATAATTGTTCTTTTGATGACTGACATAGTTTTTGATAAGCTCTTTATCTCGTGACAAACTCATTTATCTCTTTTTTTTGTTTTTGCAAAACTTACAGAACATTTTTTGTTTTCAATGAGATATATTTGTTAGTCAAGTTTTAGATTAAAAAAATATTTCAATTCGATTTCTTTGAAAGAAAAATTCATTAGAATAATCATCAATCAAGAATAGTATAATAGAAATGAAAGTTATTTTTGTACAAATTTCTTAACTTCAATATCATTTGTTTATAGTAGAAATATAAGCTGCTGAAATGACAAGGGTGAATCAGTGTGAACGATTCTCTTACAAGCTTAACAAAATTAATCAATTGGTATATAAATAATAAAATATATTGATGAGCTTTGCAAAAGCAAAAAATACGCTAGTTATAATAAGATATTGCGTTTGTCTATTTGACCTTGTTATAAACACACACACGTATACCCATATATTTCTTCTTTTTTTTTTTTTTTATCATTGTATATGGATCAATATATTTGTCTTATAATCCGATATTTCTTCTCGATTAAGAAAAAGAAATTATT